CCATCAAAGGGTCTTGAGCAGAAATCTGAGCTGGATCTGGGTTTGGAATCTGCCTCCACCACCGCATGCTAAATGTATCCGCTAAAAGTCCTTGAAAAGCTTTGCAGCTGGGCCTCAGATTTATCGTCAATAAAGTGCAGGAGGCCCGGGAACTTCTGGGGTTCGGAGGAGGCAGGGTGGAGGGCACAAAGCTCAGGTGCTGGGGAGCAGGCAGCCAGTAAGACCTGGGCAGGCATAGCTTCTACCACTGCCCTGCTGCACCCTTCGGAGGAGTAATCGAGCTTCATTAGTTAGAAAAAGGTGTGTGTGTGTGTGTGTGTGTGTGTGTATGTGTGTGTGTGTGTTACTAGGGATTGAAGCCAGGCCTTTCACAGGGAACTAAGCTCCCACCCTGTTTTTACTTTGAGGCAGGATCTCTCTAAATCTGCAAGTTGGCCAGGCTGGGACTGAGCTTGCCATCCTCCTGCCTCAGCCTCCCAGAGTCCTGGGATTATAGGTATAAGCCACCGCACCCCACTGGTTTAAAGCATTTTATTACACAACTAGATAATAACCCAAAATTGTTTTCTATAGTAGTAAAGATGCCAAGCCCTAGGATGCTATAGTTAGTTTTGCTAGCCACTTTTAATTTAAATAAAGCCACACAGGGGCAGATTTTGACTTTGTGCTCTCAGTTTCACTGTCCTTAGAATGTCACTGGTAAAAGCAAGGATGGGGCAGAGACACAGCTTTGGGGTCTAGAGTCAGCAGGGCCCAGCTCCAGTTCTGGGCTCCAGGGTGACAGTACCTACTTTGAGGAGGAGCTTGGCCTGGGCCACTGATGACTAGGAAGAGAGCCCGTGAGAAATTGCTCAACGACGTGGGCCTCGCCCTGGTCTCAGGAGGACCATGAGGCTTTTCTTGCCTAAAATGTGTGACTAAGTGAACAATGCATTGTATCCCAAGATTAGGAAGAGTCACCTTCAAGTAACCTCCACACTTGCCTTTACGTTTTAAAAAATTGTATGACAGATCCTCAGGTTAAATTCGATGTTCATAATAATCCCTTAGCAAAAGAGGGAAGAAAATAAACCTTTCCCGGGGAGTTAATTGCTATGCTTCTCCCGTGACAAGTGTGAGCTCAGGGACCCAACTTCAGAGACTGAGTCAGCGCAGCCTCCAGGTGGCAGGGGTGAGGCCCGGGGCACGCTCTGAGTCACAGGGCTGCTCACCGCCTCCCCCCTGCAGCCCCACCCCACCTTTCCTCAGAGTGAAGACCCTGGAGCTCTGGGACTGAACTCGAAAAGTTGTTTCAAGTGAGATGAAGCTAAACAATGAAAAATGACTTCTAACCTTCTTGACCTCTCGATTTCGAGGGACATAAAGGTCATCAGTTCCCTAAATGTCAGTGCGCTCTTTAAAAAGCTAAAATGCCACTTGAAAAGCAAAAGCTAGGGAAAAAATGAAGCAGAGTAAAAACTAAAGAAAAAGAAAATTGTAAGTGATGAGCATTTGTTTTTGTGATTTTTTTTCCTTTCCCTTTTTTGTTTGTTGCCTGTTTTACTATTTGTGTTTTATTATTTCCTGACATTGTGGAGAGCACGCCTTCTGGTGGTGATTCTAGGTACACGCAACCTTACTGCCACAGCTCAAAATATAAAAATCCCAGACTTTCAGGCCTCATTGTCTGTTAGCCATCGGTTGAAGGAGTGTTGCGCAAAGTGTCAGCACTGTTTTCATGCAGTTGAGCCTCCGGGGTCCATGCCTGTGTCTGTAGTGTTCTCTCCAGTGTGTCCCCATGTTACAAACAGTCTTCCTAGGTGTGTTTTAATGCTGACATAAAGCTCCCCACATTCTCACTTGGGACCGTGAAAACTTCTAGTCCTGGATACCAGGTCAGCATTAGACAGCACATCAGTGGCACTGAGTAGGAGAGCATGAGCTACAGCCCTGCTTCTTCCTCTGGCTCACGCACACAAAAGTGACATGACTCGTGTTTCATTAGGCCTCAGCTCACAGTAACCTGCGAGGTGCATTTTGCTTTGTTAGGAATAAAGTAGAGCCGGGCCATGTCTGGAGGAAGCGTTTGCAAGTGTTTTCTACGGCTACCTTAGGACTCTGTGTACATCATCAACAACTCCTTGAGGACTGCAGGGGGGTCCAGGGAGGGCGGGAGTTCTTCAGGCGGAGCACAGTCTGCTGTGTTCCCTGTGACACAAAAGGTCAGCGTATTTTTAAGGAAAATCAGTAATTCGAGGTGATGATGTATATATCATCTCTGCTACTAGTACGTAAACACTCTTACTGTTTCACTCACGTGGATTAGACATTTCACCAACAGCGACACCCTTACATTAGGAGCCCCGATTTTAAGGAGCAGACTTCGAAGGAGCATCAATTTGTGAAAGGTTAGAAAACCTACAGATCCAGATCTAATACTGCTGATTGTAAACAAGGCAACAATTGTCAAAATTATGATATTTCATAGTCGTAATTCCTAAACAAAGATGACACCCCCACCCAAACTCAAATATCAAAGCAAAATAAAACTTCTCTGACCTCACCAGCATTAGAGACGTGAGAAGACCTCCCTCACACAAGTGTGATGTCTAAAGCTGGTTTTTACTGTGAAAAAGTGGGAAGGTCCCAGGACAAAGTTCCAATGGGCCTCTCTGTGACTGTGGAGCAGGGTGTCTGTTTTCACGGGAAAGCGTGGCATGCATTGTGTATTCAGAGTCTATCTCAAAAAACGGCCTGCTTTGTCCAAGGCCACTGAATTATTCCTGACTGCAGAGAAGGTCTGCTTTGGGGACTCACAGAGCCAGCACTGGATCGGCTTTCTGGGCAGCAGACACCAGCAGGCCCAGTGCGCTCTGGAGAGCAGGCAGAGGTCCTTCCGACCAAACCCGCCTGTTCCCACGCCCCTTCAGCCCAACACGCCTCCAGCCACAGCCAGGAAATGACACCGCTCCTCTGCATGGTGGCCTAGATCACTGCCTTGGTCCTAGTGGCTCAAGTCCCCAAGCCAGGCACACGTGTGTGTCTCTCTCTCTCTCTCTCACACACACACACACACACACACACACACACACGACACAGATGTGTTCTCTAAGCTGCCTGCCTGCTGTGGGCTTTGAGTTCAGGCCTGGAGGAAGAACTGGGGCAGGGAGACCCACGCCACTCTTCTTCCTGCAGGCCACCCCTTAACACACAGCCCGTTGTCACCTGTATCATGTTGTTCCTCCAAGTGACATGTTAGGAAGAGATGTTCAGGCATGTGATCCCCACAGTCTGGAGGCTGAGGCAGGAGGACCACAAGTTTGAACCCAGCCTGGGCAATTTAGTGAGACTGTCTCAGAAATCAAAAATAAAATAAGAATGAGGATGTAGCTTGGTGTGAAGGCCTGGAGTTCCACCCCCACTACTGCAAAAAAAATAAGAATAATAATAATAATTTCAGGTAATGGATTTCATTAGCTTCACTGTCAGCACAGACTTTTTCATGGCTCTAGCTTTGGTTTTCTCAAGGGCTTGATAGATAATATTTCTGATGTCCTGAGAGCTTGGGGTGTCTGATTCCACCATTTCTGCCTGCATCTGCATCCAAACTTCATCATCCATCCATAGCTCTGCCTGCAGACCTCAATATTACTGCTTTCTGTTTCTCCTAAGTTTCTGTTGTGATTGCAGACAGTAAGCCCCAAGTGGTCTTTCTCTTTAAATAAGCTCTCATAAGGGCTTTTTACCTTCTTGGCTACATTTTTCCCAATATGGCAAACTATTACTATACCCTCAGGTGTATTTTTTACCAAAATCTGATGACAGTGATATAATGGTAAACTAGTCTGTGGCCAATTTACTCTTTTCCCTGACATTATGCTCAGAATCAGTCATACCTCCCTGACATGGTAGGAAACACATTAAGTGTTACTTCTCTGGACAGTACTGGAAGTTCAGCCTCAATGTGGCCCCATCACACTAGAAAAACCCTCTGCACTTCCTGCCCCGCACCTCCACTTCCTGCCCAGCACCTCCACTTCCTGCTCAGCACCTCCACTTCCTGCTCCACACTTCCACTTCCTGCCCAGCACCTCCACTTCCAGCCCAGCACCTCCACTTCCTGCCCAGCACCTCCACTTCCTGCCCAGCACCT